CAGATTTCAGACACTAGGCACCTCTTCAGACCAAGTGACTCGCCAGAACTGTAAAACCAAGTTTAGTAGCTATCAAAATCAAAGAAATGGCACCCTCTTGTGGTACCTCTGCTTTTAATGAAGTCTTCATATTTTCCCAATACACCTTTTTACAAACAAAGAGCTTTTCTAATATACCCATTATTAAGTACAGATTTATGCTCACTTTTTTCAGACACAATAAAGCTAGATCAGGTCACTGTACAGCAATGGGAAAGCAGCTGCATCCTGTCACAAACAGATGATCAGACCTTCAAATAAAAAAACCAAACAAACCCATTGGGCAAGATTTTCAAGGGTGAGTGCCAAAAACCCTAGACTCTGATTTTCAGATCTGCTTGTCAGCATTTATAACATGCTTACAGAGTGTCCGGCACTAACAAAAAATTGTACTCGACACTTAAAAACCATTCTGTCTTACGGAAGTCTATGTAAGCACCTTGGGTTTTAGAAGTCTTTTCTAAACAAAATAGTATGTTCTTACAAGCAGTTCATCTTCTTCAGATCAGATCCAGGTGTTTCTCACTCTTTGCTCCAATAAAAGGAATATTTCCTTTCCTTAAGTTTCTAATATATTTGCCTTTTGCTTTTACTTAAAGCAAAACAAAGTATTTCCACAGTTCAAATGACGCTGAAAGGACAACAATGTGACCATTTAAATTAAAATGTCATTATTCTTGTGAATGACACGTGCAGTTTTCATGACTGGACTTCAGTACTTTAGTCTGTTACGTCCTAATTAGCTGTGCTTGAAGGTTGTAATTCACACTTACATCCTTCCATTAAAAGAAGACACCTCTGCACCTTCGCTATTCTAGCCTCCACATTAACATGACCTAAAGCTAGTCATATTTTGCAGCCCTAGCATTCATGAGAACCTCCCATTTCCAAAAAAGGGCCACTGGCAGTACATGGATGAACACAAGATGTTAAACACACACCCTTTTTTTTCAGAATGCTGATCCAAAGACAATGCCGAGCATCTGCCTTTCTCTCTCAGAATCTCAGAAGAGGAGGGAGTTTGCCTCTACCTTGCTCCATCTCAGAGGACAGATACAGCCAAAAAAGTTGCAGAACCTGCCCCTCTCAACAAGCAAGTAGAAACCAGGAAGCCATTACTTTCACTGAAAAGCACGGGTGAAATCTTCAGGAATGCAACTTCTTACAGATGCTTTCCCTCTAGACTCCTCCTGCTTGCTTTTTATTTACAAAACAAAGGTTGCAAGACTCTTGGGAAACTTTTCATTAGCTCCATCTGATGTTTATTTTCCCCAACACAGAACCAGGTTTGTGTACTTAGCTGGAGACAGCTGTTGCAATTTACTGTTTCTTAAACTTTTTGCCACAGTGCCACATCTCTGAACTTTACAATGCTAAATCCACATGGGCTTGCAAGAGTGGTTGGCTTTTCCCCTCTACGGGGAAAGCCTGCTTGGTTTCTGCCGGCCTGTTCACATGCGGCGGCAGGAACGCACAAATACTGAACTTGCATTTCGCAGGGCTATCTGGGGACGGCACCTTCACAATTTGAGACAGTTCCAGATGCTGTATAGAAGGCTGTTGTCAACTTAAGCAGTTCAGTAGCCTGTTACCTGCTATTCTGAAAGACAACAAAGCATTACTTCTGTTCACTTACATCCTGTGCATCACAAATTAAAGATGAAGGTGTCATTCATTCAAATGCTATCCACATACAACCGCTCTCTGATTTTAGTGATGCTGTGCATGTGTACAGTGGAAGGAAAAGATTGCAGAACAATCCCTGTACCTAAGTTTCATTTACCTGCCCAAACACAATCCTATAACATTTCATTTACTTCCCTTTTTTTTTTTTTATTTAAATGAACTTAACACTGTATTAGGGATGATGTATTCAAGTTAGTTGTGATTCAGGTGAGTTGGGCAGGTTATTTATATTTACCTCAGGTTATTTGGACGCAAGTTTTCTGTCCATTATTTTGAAATACATTTAGCAAAGGCAGCAAAAACTAAGGAGGAAACGTGAAGTTAGAAATTGCTTTTCCCCGCCTCTGCCATGAGCACAAGTTATCCACGGAAGGCACATGCACTACACCTCCTCAAGAATGCGTGCTAAGCTCAGTTTGTAACATGCTGTGTAAATACTGTACCTACTACAGCATAAGCATTTTGCAATAGTATAATGAAGAAATAAAAATGAAATATCAGAGCCCAATAGCAGTATCCATTCATACATTGAACACAGGAAGGGTAAAGTTTTCTTAAATTGCACAGGTTATCTACGCAGGCAAAGAACAGACCCAGCTGCCTGCCAACTCAGCTCTAAATTGAGGCGGTTATTTTATTACACAGGCGCTGAACCAAGAAAAGCATTAGACAGACCACGTCCTTTACAAAACTAGTCACCTTGCTGCCACATTCCCACTAGTACTGTAACAGTGTTTGATCTGAACGTGCGCATTTTAAATCTTGTAAGTGGCATCTGTCAGTTCACACTACCATGATTTTCAGCTTTTTTTCTTTTTGCAGCAGTTACTTTCTCTAGCAGTTGTTTGATGATCAGGCAAGGCAGTTTTGTAGACAATCCTATCGGATCATTTGGTCCAATGTAGGGGAAAAGAAGAAAGTAGGAAAATAAAGGGACAAGCTTCAGGCACATTTGCCCTTCTTCTGGTCCAAGATGCAAGCAGCAGTTTCCAAATACAAGTTATCAAAATGGTCAGAGTTAACTATAAGATTGCTTCTGAAAGAAGAGGTGGATGGTGCTTCCAAAGGAAGAATTTCAAAGAGGGACAGGAAAGGGGGCAACGAGTATGAGGGTGGGGGGCGCAAACAGGAACATTGTAATATGCTATTAAACAAATAAGTGTGATCTTTCTTTTATTGTTAAAGATGTAATAAAAAGTCTACCCATCTGATAAACCTTCTTCTTCTTACTGTGTTTTCTGACAAAATTAAATTCCTCCTATGCAAAAGATGGCTCAGTGTTTTACCACTACTTACAAGAAACTTAGTACCTGTTGTTACTAGTTGACCATAGTTCCTGATAAATATCAATTGTACCTCAGGAAGGAAACTTTGCCCAAGGGCTCATTGTAAAATTTAGGTCAAACTTCACCTCTTGTTGAATTGCGATAAAATTTGACTTCAAATGTAGTGTCTCTTACTTTGTAATGTGCAACTGAAATACTTACATAGGTGAACTGCATGAACACTTACCCTGAGACAACATTCTTGTTAGATTCATTGTTTTAGGGTCTTCGTAAAGCTTGGTAAAACTTCCTCCCTTCCCCACCTCACCCTCACCCTTCCATTGGAAAGTAGCAGGTTTGGATGTTGGGTCTTACTTTAAAGCAAGGTCCCCGTAAGGCACACTGTAAAGTCATGTCAAATTAATTACTTTAAAGATCCTAATAAATAGTCATTGTGAAAACAACTGTAAAAAGGTAGTGATTATTCTACAAGAATTACTTGCTATCTATCATTTCCCCATCACAGCCTTGTACTCAGGAAAATGAAAGCTACCCACCCAACAGAAGTCATTGTGAAGGCATGATGATGGGCCTGATCACTGGCTAAGAAATAAAAGTAATAATAATTTTGCACACAAACTGTAGGTCTTTTAAAAGGTTTTGATTATATTAAATACATCTTACCAACAGAGTCTATTTTAATTTATTTCTGTTTATTTAACACTCCATGATCCTGCATCTATTTCTTGAACTTTTCCCAGTACCATGCATCACCAGTATTTGATTAATTTACTTACTGGCAAAGTAAGAGACAAGATTACTGGACAGTGAGTGAAACTCCTCTTCTATGATAAGAATACAATGCAGTTACTGCCAACAAAACTGCATACATGGCTTTGCCAAAAGTTTGTAAAACTTCACTGAAGTGTGTTCAACTTCCTTTATATTGCATTATAATTTTGCTTCAATCAAACTGATCAACAACTTTTGAGTTAAACCAGGTAATTTTTCACCATTTGCAAGCAACGATTTTTAGAGCAGACTGAATTTAATACTTGTACCATGAAAAGAAAAAGACTGTTCAAAGCAAGTGTTTAAAAGCAATACAGGAATTCAGTGAGCATGTTCACAAGTGACGCAGAAGACCAATAAAAACCAGATGGTATTCAGTAACATACACAGTAGCATCTTTTATTCTGCTACCCCCACTTTATTATCTAAGCTAGTAGTCTTCAACATCACATGCCTCTTACTCTCTTCCCTCCACCTCACACTCCAAGAGTTGTTGACTAATCTTTAGCCCAGAGCTGGCGAATGTTCCCAGAGCATACACTTAAATGCCAACTCTTAAGCTGATCAGTCATCTTGAATTCTAGGTAATCATCAACTGCAAACACACTGAGACAAGATGCTTAAAGATTTTTTAATTCATTTATTACCTGTGCACAAGAGAAGTTAACTACCAATAGAAACTCAAAAGATATACAGTATTTTTTACATGGTGGTTAAAAGTAATTAGAATATCACATGACCATGAATGAAAGTAATGTTTCCAATTAGAAATCAGAATACATGTTAGAATCTCAATGGAACAAGCCAAAAAGCCTTAGAAGCAGTTCCAGAGCACAAGGCAGCGGCCCTTTAATTTGCACAATGATAAAGGTAATTTACAGTTAGTCTTTGTGAATATTCAGACAATGTTACAATGCAAGTTTCTGTACAGTTAGATGTAAAGAGAGATAACCAGAACAGTAATTCTAGTATATTTTAACTGAACTTGCTTAAGCATTTTTGCTGAGATGGTTACCAAAGATGCTGAAAGATTCTACACCAAAGACACATCTTACGCCTTTTTTTTTCTTCCTTGGCTTTTTTGCATTACTTACAATCTCATTCTATTGCAATGTGTAAATCTCTAGAAATGAGTTGTCTCCATTGTATATATTGTGTTTATACTTTATACAAATCAAAGCAAAAAATGGTAGATTACTCAAGTGGTATAAATCTCACAGCATTTTGCTAGCAAAAAAAAATACATGCCAAAAATCACAATAAGCTGTATTGGTACCCACAAATTGTAGCTTCAATTCAATTAATTTGTTTCTTTTTTAATTTGTATTCTACATAAATTACTACTGAAGGCTGATGTTTAAGTAGTAAATAAATTGGACAGTTGAAGGTCAGACAAAACCTGTTCACCCAACTGTGAAAGCTGATACTGTTTCCAAAAAAATCACAAATAATGCAGAACAAAATAAGTGTGATGCATGCAACAGAGTGAAAATGCATTGATTCCCACTGTTTCAAGAAAACTACTGCACTTCACCTTAAAATGCATCAGACCGATTTTAGTTATAACAAGACAATCCCAAGAGTCAGGATGAAATAAAGCGAATATTTTAAAGATTTAAGAGCTGTTATCAAAAATAAATTACATTTTTTTCAATTTAAAGAAACACTGCTATGAAGGCTGAGAGCCAAGCAGCCTTTCAATAGCTGCATTGATGTCTCCTCCTGTTGCTATTAGCGCTTGTAAGTTTGCTTCACGGTTCAGAAAACCCATTGCACTCAGCTGCTCCAGTTGTTGCTGAAATCTAACTTCTGGATTTTGTAACTGCTAAGAACAAAATTTCAAGCTATAAAAGCATAACACACATTTAGCAAAGTACAGGATTTAAACATAGTTGGTTCTGCATCACTCCCTGTCTTTACTGATTTCTGACTACATCTTTCTCAAGATCCTAAAACTATACTATGACATAAATTCAATTCACAATTGAATTATTTTTTCAACAAGTCAGAGCAGCTTCAAATTTTAAGAGTTATCTACACTTACATGACATTCTTGAACTACAGGAAAAGCTGCCTGTTTGATAAGAAAAGGATTAAAATTAAATTGGGTAAATTTATGTCCCAGGAACAGTTTCTTGAAGATATGCATCTTTAGGTATCGTTTAAAAATGAAACAGAGTTCAACCTAGTAATGTGGAACAGCAAGGATTATAATGATGTCACTGTCAGCAATGGTGACCACACAGGCTTTTTTTTTTTCCCCTTGACATAAAAATCACCTCTTCTTTAATGCTCCAAGTATTTGTTGACTAAAATTACCAAAATTCTAATTGTTAGAAAGCTTCAGTCTAAGGCAATCTGACAGCTGTGCTTTATGGGATGATCCTGCTCACACAAACTCATGGCAAAATTCTGCATGATTTCAGTGGTACGATCTTCACTTCAGAGGCAATTTTGAATCAGAACAATTATAGGAAAATAATATGCTGGAGTAATACCGAGAAGTCACTTCTTGAAATCAATGAGTCAATTTCCATACCAACAGAAAACTTGTGCAGCTACTGCTAATTTTCCTTTTCTTCTAATTCAACAGTTTCATACATCAAAAAACTACTACCAGTATTTGAAGTCTGCATATGGTTCCAAACCAATACAATGTAAAGATGTAGCCTGAAATTTAAGAACTGCCCTCTACCTGCTTCCCCCAAGCAAAACTAAACAGAATGTTGACTTGGTGGTGTAAGATTTGACAGCACAATAAGTGAAAATGTATGAGAATATGGTTTCCTACAGTGACACCCACCAACACTTTCTCGTGGTTAGATGAGAAAAAAGTCCATCAGATCAGCAAGCTGAACTAACTCACCCTGGGGCAACAGAGGAGGAAAAAGTAGGACTGCCCCTTTGGCCAGCAGCCTGCCATTACACTGGGTACGTACCACAGTGTAAGGGTACTCTTTCACACAGTACTCTTGAGAGTTAACAGCATGTCTCCTTTAAAGCCACTCTTGCTCGCCACCCTACAACTACTGGCAAAGCTGCTACCTTTGCTTGACTTTGGGAGCTCTCTGGAAACCCTTAATCGCACTCAGTATGTTAACAAAATGCACTGCAGTCTGACCTGCAGGATGTCAGTGAAGCCATACAACAAATTCAAGCTCCAAATAACCAGAGTGTGGCTATTCCAAAGTGTGGGACAGAGGCTAAGTCACAGCTAGGGAGTAATAGCCAGCAATACAGACAAAAAACACAGAGGTCATGGTGTTCAACATGCTTAAGCTTTTCCCTTGCCTGAGCCCACACTTCACTTGCCAGTGAACCTTATCACCTCAATTTGCCTCAATCTTTCCAAACATTCAAAGGTATGAAGATGAGTGTATAAAAATCAACTGTTCAGAGGACACATTTACTCAAATTTGATGTTTTTCCAGCATTTACTTGCACAGCTGCAACACCATTTTTAAGCCTCCTCTGCTCTCCTTTGACCAGAAGCATCCAGGGAACTCTCCCCTCAATTACGATCCTCCTATCTAGTGGTTTATAATGAAAAAATAAAGTAAGAATTAAAAAAAGAATCCAGAATATAGTGATGGACTTTACCTGAGCATTTGCACCAGCAAGTGCCTGCAACATCTGCTGGACAAACTGCTGGTGACTAGGTTCTGCAGTTCCTGATGCTGGATTCGTATTTTCACTGGGAACAGAACTAGGTACAGACTCTGTAGGAGCTCCAGTGCTTCCCAGTCCACCTAAACCAGGATTAAATCTGCATAAATGACAGAAAAAGAAATACACCACTTGAATAATAAACACTAGCTTGTCTCTTCTCATTTATTTAATTACTGAGTAAAAAATCCTGTCAAAGAGGGAATGACAATTTAAGTAAAGTACTAAGACAAAGACCAGAGTCATCACTGTTTAGAAGTGCAGGGCAGGCAAAAAATGTGACAAATTCTAAAACAAGTTTAGTTAAACTAAAAAAGGCAGGAGGAGTTGTCTTTACCAAAAACTGGGTAAATCTCTACATTTAAAAAGAATGAACAACGTAACACAGGAGAAAAGTTCTTGTCTGAATTTATAAGACTGATTCTTACCCTGGTATAAGCCCTGGTGCTTCTGTCGCTAGTGTCTGCAGGCCCTGCTGAATCTGTAGCAAAGCCTGCATTGCTCTAGGGTTTGACATAGCTGATAACGTGTCAGGATTCTGCATCTAAGAAAAGGAGAAAAACTCTTAATCATATGCAGTTGTTCAAAGTTAATCTTTATCATTAGATGTTTTACAGAGTCTGACATAATTTCAGAACTTGTTTTTCAACTTTATATTTGAATATTTACATGAAATCCTTCAGGTATTTTTTGTTTTTTGAGAAAACTTTCATAGGAGGTGATCAATGAACTCTCTACATGTGGACAAAGCCTTTCAGATGAGAAGTGCAGACTTCATTTTTCAAAGCCATGGGACTGTATTAGTCCAACATCATGCTAGAATTAGCTTCCTATATCATACTAGTGGTAAGCAACACTGAACACAATGAAACTTGACCAATAGATATCTAAGAAAGTTATACAGTATTTCTTTTTCCTAGCTAAATTCAGACCACAGCAGTTTGAGCATGACTATTTGTGCATGTCTTCATATCTGTAGTGCTCTCACAGCCTAGAGAAATGCAAACTAACACACCACAAAAGATGCTAGCAAGCAAATGCATAATATTCAAGGGCTCTCATTCTAGCGTGACTTCAATTAAAAACTGGCTTTCACATCCACAGATAATTTAAAAGGCAAATCCTTTTCATTTTTGAAATTAAATGTCCAGAAACCTGACTATTTTAGATACAAAACCAAAACTAATGGCTTATGCTCACCTCTGCTTAGAGATGCCACAGGTAAGTGAAAAATAATGTGTTTCAGTTACAAGTGACACAGTCTTGGTAGCCAGACCTACTTCAAACAGCAGACAGGCTTATTAATCTTAGCAGCTGTCACTTGGCAACTAAACCAAATTCCTTCTGCTGCAAAAACATTTTTGATTCACATAGAAATGCATACATTAAGGTCAAACTTCCTCTGGTGCAGAGCAGAACTGCAAAATAGGACATGAAGAACTCTGATCTGGAATATGGGTGCAAAACAAGACTTATGCACAGCAAGTTGTTAATATTCTCCATTCTTCTCCTGGATTTTTATCTTCCTGATAGCTTAAAGTCAGAGAATAACTAAATATATAGCTGGGAAAGTTTACCCAAATTTTAAAGAGGAAAACATTTTGTGTTCTCCAAAGAAAGCTGTTGCAATTACTTTAAGAAAATATTTAAATCACAACTTACTGTCTGATATTTGGAGTTGTTTTACAGAAATGGCGGCCCAACAATTCTCAGAGCACTTACGTAACCTGGATCTTGTCTCTACTAATGATATTAATTCCAGCTGTTAAGTAGCAGCAATTCTTGTTAAGACTTGTATAAAAGCTGAAGATGGGAAAGTTTATCTGTGAGCTACTCTAGTTCTGCTGGGCAATTGCCCTTTATTGCAAAAGATGCCTTCCATTATGCAGAGGAACATTCCATGGTTTCTGCCATCCGATCCCATAATATAAATGCCAGTAGACAAGGAAGGAATTATGAGCTGCAATATTGTCAACATTCTGAGAATACCCATATGCTTGTCCACTTTACTTCACCTGCTAAAGATGCTGATCATCTGACCTAACGTAATGAATACAACAGAATTAGCTGTGCAGACAAACCCCATGGTGATATTGACAGAAGGAGGTACTCAACGGAAGTAGAAATTACACCTACTGTGCCTTCATTAATTGCCATTTATTCACAGATTTCAAAACATACATGTGGTACTAACTCTTCAGATGCTACTGAGTCATCACAAAGCAATGGCATTATGAAATACTATAGCCTTTCACGTGGTTGAAACAGTTTAAAACAGTTTCTACTAAACACTGAACTTGCTACTGTAATTCATGTATGTGTTAATTATTCTACTCCTAAAACTGTCTGTGTGCAGGCAGATCTGGCAACGCACACTTACTCTGATTTGCAAAGACTGCCTAATGATGGAACTCATACACTGGCACTGGATTAAGTTTTCAATTCCTAACAACAACAACAAAATCTTCCTTGCTCTTATTTAGGGAACACAGTACTGCTACACACTGTGACAGCTAATATCAAGCATATACCTGGGCTGCAAGCACAATGTTGTTAAGAGGGAAAGATGGTGGTAGGGCAACCTTTACAGACAAAAAACTTCAGAACCCACTTCTTTTGAATTAGCTAATGACTTGGGTCTTTCAAGCCATGCTGTAAGATCTCTTCACCCAAATACTTAAGGCAGGTTTGAAGAAGTACAAGAAAAGCACGGTGAAACTTTATTCTAGTAGTGGGAAAAGTACTAATGTTTTTAATTTGTGAAACAAATCATGTCGCAAACCAGTGTTCTCTGGCTGGTGTGCAGTAAAAACAATTATTCCTTCTAAACAAAGAAGCAAGAGCAAATCTAAGTGGTTGTGCTAGCCACAGACAAAAATATCCACTAAAAGTCAGGCTTAACTTATGAAAGGGATGGAGACATTAAGCAAAAATTAATTATCAAGGGGCAATCTAAGTTGGTGTCTAAAGCTAATGAGAGCATATTACAGAATCTAGCTTTTAGCCAAATCAAAGACAGACACCAATTTATTGAAAATATTGCTCATTGACTCGCAGACATTTATTAACAGCTAGTGTCTCATCTTACTTGCTGAAGGAAAGTAGGAAGTTGTTGTCTCATTTGTTCCTGAAGTTGAGGATTTCCAGCAAATAAAGGATTATTCAACATCATCTATGGGACAAAAATATTTAACTTCAAAGATCAAGCAGTAAAAACCACAGGGGGTTTTAAGACAACTACTTACACGGTAATAGTCTATGAAAATAACCTTAAAGAATAATAATCATCTACTCCTTTGGCCAAAACTTGTTATGAACCACCAGCCTGAACATACTGCAGGGTTTTTTTTGTTTTGTTGGGGTTTTTTGTTTGTTTTGGGTTTTTATTGTTGTTTTGTTATTGTTTGGAAGTTTTCTTTATCTTTTAAGTGAATGAATTGCCTGATACTTGCCAAGACAGCCTCATTTATATTACAAGAAAATTCTTTTCTGCTCAGCCTCCACTACAGATTTAAGTGATAGGTTCACTGTAAACATCACCTGAAGTCAGGGATATTTTCCAAGTGAGTATTTAATGCAGAAAATATAACTTTTTTTTTAATCTTAGTTTGGGATTTGACTTTGGATATTACTGCTTTAACTAAAATTTGAAAGCACTTCTACAACACCATTCATAAAACAGCTTCTGTACTTTTACAGTGAGCATGGGTCACAAAAGAGAAGTTAAAACCAGAGTAACACCTAGATATGGCACCAACTCGCCTCCCTTCACTTCCCTCCTCCCAGGCTAGTGCGGGTATTTCTTTACTGGCAGCTCTACCTTAATTTATAATCAAAGCCATTTGGTTTGTCTAACTGGTTCTTATGCTGGGTCACAAGTTTAGTGCTGTACAGAACATACACAAACTTACAAGTTATTTTAGAAGAATGCCTAGCACAATGTCCAACTACAAACTGAAGAAGCTCACTGCAACAAATTTTTAAATGTAGGCAGGTAATAATCTCAGTGAGTGAGGCCTTAGCATTAAAAACTGGGCCATTCACTACAGACAATTGTTGAGATGTTGGCACAAGAGAAAGTGTAACTGTATCATAGATTTAGCTTTTTTTTTTTTTTTTTTTTTTTTTTCAATGCACACAATACATTACTACACCAAATGCATTTACCTGTACTGCAAGATCAGGATTCTGGCTTAATGACTGCATCATGCTTCTCATATAGGGTGCAGACAACATATTCTGCATAAGTTGTGGGTTTTCTGTTATCTGTTGTAATAAGCTCTGCATTCCTGGTGTGTTGAACATACCAGCTTAAAAAAAAGCAAAAGGCCACTTTAGTAGACATCCTGACTATCATCAGATGCATTAAGACTACCTAAAACCAGAATATAACCACTTGGTTTCTCAGAGTTTTAGTCCCTGAAATACACTCAATGTGGTTCTGCTTACATAGATGAATCTACCCTAGAAGTTAAGACAGAGGCTGTATCCAACAAGCAGTCCCACTAAGTATCTACATTATTAGCTGTTTTCACATTTGCCTCCAAACAGGAAAAATACTATCATTCATCTAGAGATTCAATACTTCTGTTATTTTAAGGCAATACACAAGTACTATTATCACTCTTAGTTTACTTTTCATGTTTGTTTTTCTACAGAGGACTTTCATACTAGTAAAATGTTCTACGAAAGTAAATAGCAATAAAAACTTTGAATCAAAAACTCTCTTTCTAATGAAGGAATCATTTCGGCAAACTCCCAAGTATGTGCAAATATATACAATTGCAATAACAAACACACCTCCTAGTCCAGGTCCCAAATTTGGTACAGTTGAGCTCTGTCCCATACTGCCAGAGGTGCTATTTCCAGAATTGCTACTGCCACCGCTGTCACCGCTGGTGCTGGTAGTTGTCGTGGAAGTCTGCAAGCTGGACTGAGGAGCCCAGGGATTTGGTAGGGGATCCCTGTTTTCTGTACGAGATGGCTGACTGTCCCCTCCTGTTGATGCATTGCTTACTAAAGAAGCAAATGGGTTACCTCCAAACTACAGAGGAAGGAAAGCAAACATGTATCATCTACGAAAGTCAACTGCTTTAAAGTCTGCTATAAATACCAAGTTACCTTTCCAAAATTACACACAAAGATAAATGTTGAAGGGTCTTGATCAGTTATACTCACCATCCTACAGTAATTCATTGTAAATATTCTGAAAAGATGCCAACACTGAGAGATATTAGCACCTCCAAAAAAATTAAATCATGTTTCTTTTTGAAAGCAGCATTACTGCTACACCGGTATTTTGATCACAGTAAGATTTTATCTTGCATACTGGTTTCCAACTTCAAAGGCTTTTTTTCTTCCCGTCTTAGGTTCCAAGTTACTAAACACACCTTTAAAAAAATTTTCCTGGACCTCATAATTTTAAGGCAAAGAATTAAAGGAATTCAAACTTAAGTAATACAGAAATTCATTAACTTTAAAATAGCTTATTAAACACACAAAGCAATATCTGTATTTCTTCAAGCTTAGAACAACACAGAATTTTTAAAGATCTTTCCTCTCAAGAGTAAGAGGCTGCATAGTGACTTCAAGCTTCAAGGAATACTTTGTTAAGTACACATTTGGAAATTTACATTATTTACATGCTTTTATTTTTAAAAAATATTTACTTTCAGTGGCATTTGCAATCTTTTCTCACCTGTTCTTGTGCTGCATTCAACATTGGCTCCTGAATATCTGTGTACATACGTCGCAAGGCATTGTATCCACCTGGTATACTTTCCAGGTTGCTCAAGGCTCGGTCTTGGTTTCGCATCATTTCCTGCATCATTGCAGGGTTTCTAGCAAGTTCTAATGTCTAGGGAAGTGGAACGTTTAATCTGTATTAATAAGAAATCCATTCTAAAGTGAAAACGTCAACATTTGGCAATATCTCAGTTACCACTGTCTAACCCAGTTTGAAATTATGATTAAAGCCAAATCAAGATACCAGCTCAGTGGGAGTCAACTGAATTAGACATTTAGCCCGCATTCTACCATAACCATCGCTATGCTTGTTGGGTCAGGAAGTGCTGGCTAAACAGAAGAAAAACCTTGAATGAACTATTCTTTTCCTTCTTCATGTTTTCAACAGGATATACTCCTACCATTTCTAACATCATTGCAGCAGGCAGCCTATAATATGAACTTTAAAATAAGTACCTATGTTTTCAAAAGTATCCATTTGGTTTTTGATACTTTCTGCCACACGGCGTATCTTACATACCATCTGATTTTAAAAGCACTCAGAAGTACCTACAGTTAGACAAAATGAAAATGTCTAGTATTTTTGAGAACTACTACTTTTGGTAAACTTATTGTTGACTAGACAACAGAAGGCTTCAAGCGCACACACGGACATCCAACCCTAACCTCAGAAGACATGATTACACGGTTTTCAGTGTCTTTCAAAACTGTGCTGCAGATTTTCTGAATTATCAGTCTATTTCGTACATTAACAACTAGAAATACAAACATCAGTTGCCTACAGCAATGTTTTATGGATTTTCTAACAAGCCTAAATACTTCAAGAATGTCTAAGCACTCAACTAAGCATGTCCAATTCCTGCTCTGTTGCTCACAGTATAATCAAAGGTCATGAACTTACAGAGATCCTTCTACATACCTGTCTCATTATATCAGGATTGTTCAGCATGTGACTGATTTCTGGATTTCTCTGTATCAGTTGCTGCATTTGAGGGTTAGCCATAATTAACTGCCTCATCAGGTCAGGATTTGAAAGCATGCTCTGAACAAATGGATTTTCCATTATCTGAACCATCATTTCTGGGTTGGACATAAGTTGTCGTTGCATCTGACTTTGTAACTCTGAAAAGTTTGATGCATTTAAGCCCAGGCTACTCAGGCCTGCCAAACCTCCAAGGCCACCTTTAAGAGGAAAGAAAAAAAAAATTAAACTTTCAGCTTCTAGTATATTTCTAAACACATCCAGGTTCTTTCTAAGTACAAAATACATAAACATAACTCACATTTCAAAATAATGAAACTCAACGGAAATTCTATCTTTGCAAGGCTGTTAAGGAGTCATCCACTAAGAGTTTGCTTCTTTACATAACAAGACACCTAGAAATCCAAATTGCATCTGAAATGTAACTTGTTACAATTCTAACAGCTTTTCTTCTACTTTACTATAGCTGAGGTACAAGAGATGTTTGAGTTTTGGGGCCTCAGGTTAATTCCCAACACTTTCCAATACATTTATAATAATAATTTATAGACTATAACCAAAAGAGATCTTCCGATGTGCCTCATATTCCCTATTCTAATTAAAATTAGAGCTGCTCTTCTTACTAATGTGCCAAGAACTAATTATGCTTTGAATTCCCCTCCTTTGCTGAGTCCAAACAAAAAATTTCAGAAGGTACTGGTCAGTCTGAAGAACCGTTTACAACTAAGAAAGCAACTGCTTACTGTGGTTAGCTTTTCCAATTCTATCTCTTCCCCACCGCCCAAAAGCAAATGAGATTAAAAAGAATGAACCAAAAACCCCACTGTGATTATGGAAATAGATAGTATTTTTAAATCAATAGACTGCAGCCTCTTTATTCATGAAAGAGAAGACTGATAATGCTATCAGACTTGGAACCTGAGAAATACTGAATTGTAAGATTAGCAGCAATTTTTTTACTTCTGTTCCAGATCTTGGCTTCATGTTACAGGTCCAACTTCATCAATACTCTCCTCAGAGCTATTCAGATGCACTTTTAAGGAGCACAAGGACACTGGAAGGAGTTTCATTACCCATACTGCCAGAATACAACATCAGTGGCACCTTACTACTGAAGGTGAAACAGCACAAATCTGAAGTTCTGCATATAAAATTAAGGAAACAACTTTCCTCTGATAACTTACGATTAGAAACATTCTACAACCAATACCATAGATATTTGTAATCAGTTTTTTGGGTGGTATGTTTGTTTGGGTTTTTTTTTTTAAAGTTCTGTCTACATTAAGAGTAAATCTTCAGGGACAATTACCTGAATCCAATAAAAGATACCCACCATGCTACCTAATAAATATTCTTACCCAAGCCAAAAGGGTTACTATTTGTTGAAGCTGGTGTTGAGGTACTACTGCTTGATGTTGATGTGGTAGCAGTACTCCCAGTGGTGTTCGCTTGTTGTGCTGGGTGGTCTTGTGATCTAAAAAAGCAAATTTAAAAGTTGCAAGTTTAACAAGTTTATTTAAATAATGCCATTAAATACAGGAATAGTATCATACTTGAGAATCTTAATTTACATTTTGATTCTTTGTCAAAAATCACACTATTATCTCTAGATGGCTTCCTGTAACAAATCTTTCTTAGACATCTGTAATGTCATCAGTTTTTCAGAATGGTAGTTTGAAACATTAAGAAAATGGATGGACACCATTGCAGCCATTACCACCTTCTCACCCCATCCCTGGGATGCCCACCAATGAATTTTTTCCTCTGTCCTTACCTTAAAGGATTCTTGCCTTATTTCACTGTACTCAAATACTACTGATTACATGCCTGGAGATTAAGGAAATAAAGCCTAGCAAGATTTAATGTTGGACTTATTTCATGCCACACCTTTAATAGGATGCCTTACTGAATGTGAAATTCAGTTAACGTCTTATTTCATTAGAAGACAAGTATCAGAATCTCAGTACCCTTTAAGACTTCAAAAACAGGGTAAAAACATAGTTACACAAAGTTAAAGCCAGCATAATTTAGCACAGGCACGAAAGGCTACCCATGTCATATACTCACTACACCTTTCTACTGCAGAGGCATAAACACGGGTGCTGCCATGTAGTAAAAGAGATCAAGGAACTGAGCTTATGTAAAGCTAACCTGGCCTCTATTCAAAAGAGGCTAGTTTGAAACGCAAATCATTTCTCCAGGCTGGTTCAACAGTCAGTCTTATAAATGCCTGTATTTGTAGAACGACGGCATAAAATAACTTGTAGAAACTATGAATTCAAACCTCACACAAAGATTTGAGGATTCGACAGTACACTAAATTTCATATCTCAGTTAATCTCAGAGTACCTTTCTGCTACAATAAAATTCTGTGCCTGTTTCACTAAAGCAAAGACCGGGGTGGGGGGCAAACAAACAAACCAACCAACAAAACCAAGCCTGAGAGATGCCTCAGGTCCAGAGGCTTCCCTGAGGTTTCTAAGAGTTTTCTGACTCCAGGCTAAACATCAGACACCAAAACCATAAACAGAAACAAAAGGAAAAATGAAATACTTTGCACACTTCACAAGGTCTTTCATGGAATAATCAACACTAGCTTATAAGTAGCCCATCTGCTGGAATACCCTGCTGATTTGACCAATGTTCTTGTAAACAGGTAAATAAAATATGGCATGCCAAGTCATGAAGGTATAGGATGCCATGGGACCAAATCACCTGATTCAAGTTCTGACTGATGTTCTGGGTGTGAAGGAGTAGAACAAGGTGAGGCCCACAAGATCTAACAGTTCTTTTAAAACTTAAGTCCATAGTGATTCCTATGAATTCAGTTTTGCATATTTTAATTTGTATTCCTTTCAGGTCTATCAAAACACACATAGATTCTGTTGAATGAAGACCCGTTCTAGAGGAAACCTTCCAGATAGATGCTAACAATCCAGGAAAGGGAATATCTGGATACTTGGCTTTGACATAAGCTGCCCTGACATAAGGCATTGAGTGAAACTCTGGGCTCCTGAGAAGAACAAGCATTACTACTCTGTAACATTAACAGCAACTGTGAACTTTGAATACAAGAGGACTACTGTTAGCCAAGCAGCTGTAACTTCAATGAGGAAGATTATAGACTGTATAATGACTATGGATCTTCTGCTAGAGATACTTGGTTTCCTTTGGTCTAGAAAACACATAAATCTTTCCTCCGTAAGTAAAAGGAAAATAATAAGTATAAAACTCTATTTGCTTTTTCAACTGAGAAACTATTTTGAGAAGCAACTGTACGTCTTCATGTAACGGACAAGAAAGGTTCTCAAAGGAGGACAGAAAAGTAGACAAGACTGAAAACTTACAGTTCTTAGTGCTGCTATGGAAATTGGGGGTATATACCCTCAAGATAATGGTTTGAGTGTCAAGTCTGTCAGCCTGAAGTCTCTGAGTGAAATTCCTGTAAAGTGCACATCATCTTTTATATTCACGTTGCCATTATGTTTCCTCTGTCACTTGTGAAGAAAGTACAGGTGTTGACTTGGAACTTTGTATTCAGAAATTCAATGCATCTTCACTGCCCGTTGCTAATCACTCACTGCTACTCTGACATTGTATAGGCCAGGTTATAAGATTACACTGGAAGCCTGTATCATTCTGGAAAATGTAGCACTGTAATAAAGTTATCTTTTTTCAACAACGATTGGTTGAGATACATCAGGATTCCTGTTTATATTGTTTAGAAGGGAAAAGATGATCTTCAGATCTAGTTTTGGAAAAGAACTTTTGTTTATTCAGATATATGGTGGCAACAGTAGTCAACAGAAAAGTAAATGACATAGTGTAACATGTTTGGGAGCAACCCAATCTTGATACTCATGGACGAAAATGAGCACTTGCCAGACCACACTGGCAGGGTCTAAGTCTTGTCTTTTGGGTCAAGCATAAAATCCATGTATTTTAGTAAGAATAATATTGAGATGGTTCAGGATAGTATTATACTTTCTCAAAGGTGATTTTCATTGTGCTGGTAATTCTGTTTAGCAGGTCCTAGGTGCATATTTTCAGTTTATTCAAGCAAAGCTGGTAGGTGAAAACATTACTGCCTCATTTGAAGATAGGGTAGATAGATGCAAAAGATCTGTAAATTTTTTGTTTTTACTTCCTTGTCTAAGACATGACTAAAATGTTCTGAACGTAATGGTAATACACTCTTCTAAAATTATTCAAAGAAGTGGGAGAGATGGGAAATGGATTGCAACGCTGACAGGACTGATGCAGGGACACCAAAAATTCCCCAAAAGCCATAAATGTGGCATTGTGCATGGGTGCTCCTTTGCCCAGAGGCAAAGCGCAAGAAGGTGTGAGAGACTGGCACTGGTGTTTCAGTATGCATAGTTACCATAGGTCCAACCTATGAACCCTCTGAAGACTGCACAAGTCAAAAGCATCCTACTGTCACTACTCATGAAGCCTCTCTGCCACACTCAAGACTGTAGGCAAAAAAAGCAGAAGTCATGACAACAGCAGAATACTAGTTTAGATGCACCAAGCACAAAATTGCAGTATTAGCTAATAAGGTATAGAAGATTGGGATGGCTATCAGGCCTAAATTTCAGGTTGGGGAGGCACAGGGCAGGGAAGGGAAACCTCTCCCAGTGCAAACACAAGTTTTTTGACACAGACACGACTCCAGGACAGAAAAGATATTCCCACCAGGATGTGAGCATGGAATTGAAGACCTCAATTTCAACAGGTGCCTACATTTAATGCTAACGCTACTAATTTCAACAGGAGCCTAAATTTAATGTTATTGTTACTAATAGGCTTTTATGACTTGGGGAGGCCTGGAAAGGGAAAGCGTATTTCTTTTCTCTCCTAAGTTCCATGCTCTTTCCTTCATCATCCGACATTTTCCCACAGGAGGAGATCCTTACCACATACAAGAAAGACTTAAGTAGAACAGAGGCAAGAACACTTTCAGTCTAGAACAACGAACATGTTATTGACTACGCAAGCTAGATTCAATCGAGGGATACATTACCCTACTTGCTGAAAGGATTTTTTAGTTGAGCCTTCTCCTTCTGGGCACTTCACAGGAAGCAACGTGCAGATGACATAGCTCAAGTGATGCAACTTTCTCATGATCATTTTAAAGTTGCCTCACCAAAACAAAACAAAAAAAATCTTAAAAGCCAAGTCTTTCTGTTCAGCCAGATAAATTAGTTGCACTAAAGCAGTTCTCTCATAAAAATTTTCTTTCCTTGTTTTACAAAAACAGCAAGTAAGGATTCACTGCAGGTTTTCATGCATGAAAAGAAAAGCTGCACAACATATCTTTATGGATGGTAAGAGCTGATATCTAAGAACTATGGAATCAAAACACAGCCAGTACTCAGCACTACAACAAAAACGTTAAATAACAAAAAAGCAAGAGAGTTGCATTTAGAAACATGTATCCAATTAAAATACAAGATAAACCAAAGAAAAAAGTACTATAATTTCAGACTGTTATTCTGCACCAACTGTGACTAAGGAGCTGATTAAAGTAATTTAGTCAAATCTAGGTTTGTCCAACAGAAAGCTGCTAAGAATTTAGAGTATTTTCACTTCTTAGAGTTAAATAGAAGATCACTCATCAGTAAGGTTACCTGTTTTGTGTTTTGATAACCAGGTGAACAGTGAGTCCATCATGAATTCCATGCTGAGTCAAAGTATCTTGATCTTTTAAAATTTTTCCGGCAAATATCAACACAAGCTGATCAGTGTGCGACTTGAAACGCTTAGAGATTTCTTCCTTGAACTAAACAAAAAAGTTAATATTATACATGTATGTAATTGAATACTGAACCATATTTTTTTTAATGATTGCTCACATTTAATGTATTACTCCACTTGCACTGCACATTCTGTTTTACACAATCCTGAAGTACTTTATTAAGTTTTCTCAACTTTTTCTGTCCATAGGACAATGGGTAATAGTTATTTCTTTTTCGTACAATAAAAATCAGAAGAGTTTCACATCTAGAGCACTAGTGATATAACTAGCAATAACAAAAATGTGATTCCACTTGAAGTCCATGGTGGCTTCAATCAGGCATGCATCCATGACAATAAATATATACTAATATATATACTATTTATATATACACACTGTAAAGTACGTATATAATTATATACTAGTAAGTATACACTAATATACACACACACACACCATCCATTGCTGAAAGACCAAGGATGCAATGTCACAAGTACGATAAATCTGTCTACACTTTGGCTGGAACTGAACAGAGAAGTATCCTCTCAGACATGTATTTGCCACCTTCCATGTGTCACAACTAGCATTCCTTTCCACACAGGCAAAAGTTACCTCTCAGGTGGCTCTGCTTTCTCATTCAACATATGACTATAGCTACATGAAATGCAGTTGCAGCCCAGGGCATGGTGAACAGCCACATTCTTCAGCTGACCAGGTAAAACAACTGAACATGGAAGCCCATTGTACACTTTCTTGACTTCCTAGCCGATAATAACCAGGTTATGCTTTGACTGAGTTCTGACTGAGATTTTTTATTCTCTAGAAAAAACACCTCACCGAAAGCAAAAAATGCACAAAACTTAAGAAGAAAGATATCCAAGAAAAATGCTAAGGAATGACTTGATTATAAGAAAGCCAGATAAATTTATTCAACAAGACTAGTCAGTACGCTAAGTATTTTTAAAACGATCCCAGGCAGTTAGGAAGTCCTTCAGAAGTTCACCCTATTTAACATTGTTAAATTAAGTTGACCATACTACTTCAAAAAACATCCCAAACATCCTAGGAAATTCTCACTCCATATAGGAAAATAAATGATTAATCTTGCAATTAGTTATTAATAATTACATTTCATAATATGCGGGACTAAAAAAGTAAAATCCCACTGTCTTATGCTTTGAAGGCGAGTCTCTAATTGAAAGGGTTTGTAGTACAGGAAGAGAAAAAAACAGATAAAAAAAAGAGTGAGAGACAACAGAGGTAAAAAGTCTCTGTGTTTGGGGAGGAGGTTGCCCTTAGTAAAATGTCTACTCACACAGAGTTAGTTCCAGTTCTTGGGCAAACAACTTTTAAGTCAGCCTTTATTCTGTCAATATTTAGACTTGCAAGTATTCCAGAAAGTCACTCAGTCCATTCCTTCCCAAAGTGTGTTACTTACCTGAATTATTCCTGACATGTTTATCTAGTCTGTCCTCCGAGGCCCCCAGCAACTTTTTTCCAAGAAACCCATTTCAGTGTTTCACTATCCTATTTCTTCATTGTCCTCCCCACAACAGACAATGCAAACAGACTGTTGTTCTCCATAGAATAAATGGTTGCAGTAAGGCTAACCTTTTCTTGAGGGTTGTTTTCTAATCCAATCATTCCCACCACTCTTCGGATTTTCAAATCCAATTACATCATTTTGCAAGTGTGGGCCTCAAAACTGGCCAAAATATTCCACACCAGTTCTTATCTGTACTTAGTGGAATAACAGGATAAACCCCACATCCTGCAAGCTATATTCTCAGTTATAAGAAAGAGTGAAAAATCCATGTGGGAAAACAGTTGTGTAACAGTACTGACTTATTTAACAGCTCTAAACTCTAAACCCTTTTCTACAGAGCAACTGTTCAGGCAGTTGCTTCCTATTCTGCATTCTTCTGGTTAATTATTCTTAATACACATTCCAAAGTAACAAAGTAACAAAGTAACAGCAGAAATACTCACAATTTGGTACAAAGCTAACGCATAAGAATAAAGGACTACCATACTGTGCCAAACCAAAGAGTAATTTCATACACCCAAACTCAGCTATTATCGTGTTTTCCACACTATATTGTAACAGTGAGATCCACAACTTAATTCTCATCAAAAAGCTGATGCTGGAGTATAAACAACATTCATAGTACCACAGAATAACTCAAGTTGGAAGTGATCCATAGGGATCATCAAGTCCGACTCCCTGCTCCTCGCAGGACTACCTAAAACTAAACCATATGACTAAGAGCATTGTCCAGATGTTCCTTGAATTCTGACAGGCTTGGTGCCATGACCACTCCCCTGGGGAGCCTGTTCCAGTGACCAACCACCCTCTCAGTGAAGAACCTTTTCCCAATGTCCAATCTGAACCTCCCCTGATGCATCTTCATTCCATTTCCTTGTGTCCTATCGCTGGTCACCAGAGAGAGGAGATCAGCACCTCCCCTTCCACTACCCACCTTGAGGAAGTTGTAGACTATGATGAAGTCACCCCTCAGCCTTCTCTTCTCCAAGCTGAACAAACTAAGGGACCTCAGCTGCTCCTCGTAAGTCTTGCCCTCGAGCCGTTCACCATCTTGTTTGCCCTCCTCTGGACACACCCTAATAGTTTGATGGCCCTCTTCAAATTACTTTATGTTAAACCAAACCCCGTCACACATTTCTAGAAGTGGCTATTTACCCATAAGGTCATGATCTCTAAAAACAACACCACAGTAAGACAAGATTACAATGGCCAATGTACCAGGACCCCCAAAACAACCTCTACAGCAACATACGTGCATGATCCAAATGAAAAAAAGACCTCTTTCCAGCCACAATAATAAAACTGCCAAGAAAACCAAGCCAATTTTGGCTGAGGCATATTTACATAAAAAGCCTAACCAAGATACAAAAAAAAGAGTCGGGTCTCTTCATCAGCTTCACTTGCATTCAGCGCAACCCTGGGACTTCTGCTATGACAAGGACCAAGCCCTCTGTATGACACTTCATTCACAGAAGAGTACCACATAAAATCTAGGTTACCATGCAAGATATTTTGCAAGTGAGTCTGCTGATTAGTGTTAACAGTCAAAGATAGTATCAATAACAGATTAGGTCTGCACACTTTATTTTTTTGGTGAGGCAGGGTGAAGGGATTCGTCTATACATTTGTAAAACAGAATCCCCAAACCATTTTTGACACGTGGGTTTGTTTTTAACTGTCAGCATCTGATGTGTTGCAGGGGGAATCAAAATATCAATAAACAGTCTTCAGCATCACCTGATCTCTGCGAATACTGGAAGGTGATTAACCTTAGGTCAGAGTTTGGCACAAGTCACTACTGTTTGTACTGTGAAATAAAGTCAAGGAGAGTGGAAGAGAAGACTCTTCACCATCCTCTGGGGGCAAACACCTGTCTTCAGTATTCTGAGTCTCTCACTGTTAATGGTAACTGAACTGCAAGACCATTCCCCCACAGTAAAGGGGAAAATCCAGAAGTTTCTTTAAATTCAGACAGTGAAAGGACAAGAGAAATGACTGGCAGCTGGACTGGCAGCTGCATTCTTACTCCCACAGACCTCATCTGTGTAGTTTTTATAGGATTCCCCACTGCTCTTACTGGCAACAAATAATTTGGGGGATAAGGTGCTACAGTACTATGGTAATGAAAGACAGCATAAACAGTGAAGACAACTATCTCAATTTTCTTTTCCCTAAACAGAACCGTAAACATCAATCCAGTATGTTTCACCTCAGAGCCTCAAATTAAACATATGCAATCAACAGCAAAGGGAATAAAGGAAAGGAGATTATTATTATGGGAATTAATACATATTTAGGCAGATGTAACGAAATAAACTTTGGTATTGTTTAAATCTTTGTACAACTTAACTAAATAACACTCTCAGTAAATGACAGTTAAAATACTTCATCACCTGGGAAAACAAAAAGCAGAAGGAGTTCAAAGTGTCACTGGCTGGAAATGATGAGCATTTCTGTCCAATTCTCCTACTGCACTGACTCTTCAGTTTTATTAACATGTAACACTCCAAGCAATGGTTTCAGCTGATTTGCTTTACTGTTCTAAAACACAAGTTTTACTTCATTGTACTAATACTAGGCATTGTGATATTACAAAGGTGTTCAGTTGTATCTGAGCATAGAAAAAGACTTGAAGTTGTAAAAATAAAAGAATGTTTCACCATACCTAACACCTAGCATATTCACGGCAACTAGTTCATTGTACTCCTCTAGTAACTGCATACAATAAAAATAATGTAAAATTATGTCAATTTTAGACATGATTATTAGACAAATCAGCGGAGAGAAACACAATGGAAATCAGAATGAAACATGAGACTAACATCTAGACAGAGGCCTGCTTTCCCCAGAGAGAAAAGGAGAAAGCATTTCTTAACAGAAGTTATTAATTCAAGGTCACAGCCTCCTCAAAGCATGGCAACTTGTAGATTTGATGTGAATTAGAGCAAATCTAAAGCCAGTCTTGTTGAAGCACCTTGCCACATTACTATTTTAGCTCAAGTTAAAAAAAAAAAAAAAAGTTGATAGAAACAAGTTAAGGACAGGAACAGTGTAATTTTTCACATTGAGAACGTTCACCTTTTTTTAGCAGCACACCAGCACTTCTTGCTTACACTCTCAATTTCCATGCCAAATACCCTCATATTCACACAACTTTAAAAAACTCAGCCCAATACTCCACTAACAAAACTCGGCTTTTTTGTTCCATGTTAACACAAAACAAGGCTCCACGAAGCAAGTTAGGACTTCTGTTACACCTGCTCAACTTGATTGCCTCTGAAGGTTTTTGCAAGGTATGGGTGGACGCCATGGTGTTGATGCCCACTGCTGAACAAATGCATACTAGTACCTGAGCTAGTTAAACATTTTGTCACTGAACAAAACAAATGTCTGACTACACATGGACTACAACAGCTGACTAAAACAGAGACTGTTTTGCACTGTCACTTTGCAGAGCAGATCCATACTTTAAACATTAACCTATTAACATCTGACCATCTGACAAGTTGGCCTAGGAAGGGCCTGGTAAAAAGTTATTCCAGGCAAAGTAACAGTCTTAACACACAACTCTCCTTTCATATGTTACCGCCATACAATGATTCAAAAGCTTTTGCTGACTCACACTATGACATCAAAAACAGCAACTCTAACAACATGACTATCCAGTCACATGACAAAGTGCTGTGAAAAAGGAATAAAAAGAGGAAAATAAATAAATGAAAAGTACTTTCCCAAATCCTCTCGACCTTGGCTTAGTAAGACATATTTAAAAATTAGAGTAACAGTCTGAAAGAGGCCTCAGGAAATCATCATCCAACTCCCAGTGAAAAGTAACAGAAAACAGGTCCCTAAAAACTGCAACTGCTTTGAAAATACTAAGCTACAACTTTATCTAGATGACAATAAAAAAGCAAAGTTGCTGACTCTTCCCACACCAAACTCTGTTTTGAACACAGTAGCGGATGACGTGGAAGCAAAGGTTTCTATCCAGAGGGCTGAACTGCAGTTTACGTTCCCAGCAGCCCCTCAAACGGTTCTACTACAAAGAAATCATTATCACATTAGAAATGTGATACATCAAATACATCAAAGAAATCAAATCACATTACCTTGTTCACCACTCCTGTTTCAAAACACACGCATGATCATTTAAACGTTCGACTGACATTCCTAATAACACACACAGTTAAGCATATTAGCCGGACTCTAGTCTCTCTTACACCCACACCCATCAGTTTCAACCAGAGGCTAACTTTGATGAGCTCCAGCTTTCTTGTATGCAACAGAATCAATGGCTACAGGTCTTCTTGACCCACGTTGTAAGGAACCAAACACACTCATGGCAATACAACTGTTGATAGGTGTGGTGTCCTTTCCCGGTGAATCATATGTGGTAATCTTATGACTGTGAATTAAAGTGAGTCAGTGAAAACAGGGTTTCACTGAACAATTCTTGGATACTGTACAGGAAGGGGGACAAGAACTTGTGGTGTCAAGCAGGAAAGCACTTCTGTCCCACAGCCCACGCTCTGCAGCAGATAAAGTGTAGCTAGAAAGCGCACCCAAAATTAGGCTTCTATATAAGACTATTTTGTCTTTCACGACTCGATGGAGTTACTCTCTTCCTGTCCCCTTGCCAATGACCCATGCTAGTTTGACAATCAAATTATTTCCTCCAATCTCTGCAACCAAACCAAACTCACAAAAAACTCATCTCAAGAAACAAGTTCAGATTCTTGATGAGCTTACAAGGCTAGTAGCCCATAAAGGAAAACTGCAGCAGCCTAGCGGAAAAGGCTCAGGACTTGTGTTCTAGCCAGTTTTGTCCCTTCCAGGCACCCCAAGTCACTCCACTCCTCCATGCTTTGACTTAGGAGAAATGGTTAGCAGTACTTCCCTTCTCCATAAAG